TAATGGTGGATGTCAAAGTCTACTACAGTCAACGAGAATACATTGCTTTTGTTGAATCAATATGTATTCATAAGTTCAATTAATGCATTCCTGAAAATGTTTTGATTATTTGAGTGCTGACTAATTATCTACTTGTAAATGCACAATGAATGTATTCTTAGCTGAGTTTTTAATATGTGTACTTTGTTTCAACAAATACGATCAAAACAAAATTATCAAACAATATGTTTTTAATTGGCTCATAATAAATTTTCTTTTGTGTTTTATTTTAAGCTGAACCATCATACATTATTATTTTGTATTTTGTGTTTGAAAATAAATACTATATTTATATTTATAAATAGTTTTACTAGACACTTATTAAATCACTAACTTAGTGAAATGGGTCTGTTTACATTGCATAATTGCTGTGTCTTGTGCTCAATAGACTTTTTTATTTTATAAATTGATTCATAAAGTCGTCTTCCTTGTCCAGAGTTTTCTGGTTATCACTGTATATATATATTTATCCATATTTATCAATCTATGTATATATTTATCTATCTAACTACCTATTTAGGTTTACTCTGCTGCCAACCTCCTGGTGTATGCTGAAGGCTTCCTGCTGCAGAACCTGGTGGCGCTTCTCACCTACGACGACTCCGTAAAGCGGTTGATCTTTGGGAAGAAGTTACAAAACCACGACGTCCTGTCAGGACTTCTTCGGACACTACAGGACAGGATGAAGAAAAGAGGACAGAATAAGTCAAAGAAATTGTCCTTATAGTGCCAACACACTGTTGAACAGTTTACAAGAGTGTGAAGTTATAACTTTGTTATTTTAATGAGAAGCATTGACAAAACTAGCGTTGGTACAATGCATACATCAGTCCAATCTGTACAGGATCGTAACGTACCGATCAGTCTGAGACACCTGATTTTTGGACTCAGCACGTTTTATGCACAAAATATAAGCTACCTGGATCTATGCTACATATTAAGAAAAAGATGGAAAATCTAGAAAATCCGGGAAAAGTTACAGCATGTACACTGTACAGTGTACAGTGTACTGTGTACAGTGTACAGTGTACAGTGTACAGTGTACAGTGTACAGTGTACAGTACATATTAACAAACGTTTCAGGATTTAAAGTTTTTATTCCTGACAGTAAATTCAAAAGAAATTAAAAAGGTTTTATTTGAAAAATTCAAGTTTTATCATAACATATTTAGATATATTGAACAAAACACTGTTATATACTCGATTGTGTACACTGAAGTACAGAAGAATCTATACTGAACTGTAATGTACTGTACTAATTGATAAACACAATATTGTGTTTTTATGTAAGGTAAAAAGGTATTTTTTGTGATGTGCAATCTATAAAAATGACAATTTATTTATTAAAAAAATTAGACTTTATCGATGACTGGACAATTTTGGAATTAAGAATTAAAACTAAGAATTTCGAATAAATTAAGCATAGATTAACTATCAATAACAGATAGAACACTAGATGTCGTCTTTCAAGATTTAGGGTTCTTGTTAACAATAGCCCTGAGGCAGAAGCCCAAAGGAGAAACGCTCATTCAGCGTCGAAATACAAGACAGATAGATAGAATGCGCTGCCTACAAGGAACACTTTTGGGCTTCTGCATCAGGGTTATTGTGAACGATAAACCCTAAATTGTGAAAGGACGACATCTAGTGTCCTATCTGTTATTAATAATTTATCTATGAAATTAAGTCTTATCTTTTGCGGAAAACCCTGTACATAAATTATAATGTTGAAAAAATAACTCAATGACACAGACGGAAATTGTATTTTAAAGAAAAGATTAAGTCTAACTTTTATATTTCTAAGTGATATAATGCTAAAATATATGTCGGCATGGATTTTCTTTTTTAACAAATATATTCGAAGCATGCGAAATAAGAAGAATATGGACGTTATAGGTCCATTAAATTTATGGATAACCATTAACAAAATGTCTTACGAAAGCCATGTTTTGTAAGCATTTGTAAAGCTCTATAAACAATGATATGCAATAAAAATTGACAACGCATCTGTTAAAATCAAGAACTATTTCTGTATTTATAAAACGTCTGTTTGTAATCAATGATTCATGTATTCTATTTGTGAACAATATTTATCATAATATATGTATCTCCATAATTATAAAAATAAAATAATGTTCTTGTAAATACTGTATTTTCAACTTATATCAATAGTAAAAATCCGTTTTTAACAGAGGTTTTTGCCTTTAATCATCTCTGACTGAAAAACTTGCATGGTCATGCCTTTAGCTAGGGGTGGCACAGGGGTACATAACCCCCCCCCGCTTTTACACAAAATGTAGGGCACAAGGGGGCGCATTACTGAGACAAAAAACAAGGAAAAGAAAAGCTTAAAGAGAGAGAAAAGAAAAGTAAAAGAAGAGGCAAGAATTATTTTTTTTAACCAAGAGTATGTCTTTAAAAATTTCTTTAAATTTGGTAATTTGGAACGGAAAATTTTATATTTGTAAAGCGTGAAAAGATAGGGTTCAAAATCATTTTTTACATTTCTTAACTTTTCCTTGTTCCTTCTTTTTATAAATTAATGATTTTATCCAGTCTTTCTTTGTGCAACAAGTAACAGTATGGAGAAACAAAGGTCTTAACTTCTATGAAAACTCGCATAATTTTATAGACTGGACCGATCGGCTTTTAAGTGTCGGAACCAGGGGGCGAAAAAGGTCATGTTTGTGTGTCTGTACCAAAAGAGTGTGTGTAAGGTTACCGTACTGGTCTGCAAAGCAGAGCGACTGGCTTTCTCATGCCAGACCAGCGCCGTAAAGTTTCCGTATCCTTTATTAGTAAACCTGAAGCTAAATAGTGGATCGGCTTTTAAGTGTCGGAACCAGGGGGCGAAAAAGGTCATGTGTGTGTGTCTGTACCAAAAGAGTGTGTGTAAGGTTACCGTGCTGGTCTGCAAAGCAGAGCGACTGGCTTTCTCATGCCAGACCAGCGCCATTTCCTTTCCCTGTATTCCTATTCCCTGGTTGGAACGCCTTGCCCTCCTGTATGCTGAGTACATTAGCGCCTGATCCAATCAGCGTTCAGTCATGTGTTTATTGTCTATTCTGAACCAAAAGAAATAGTTTGGCGGTACCATCTATCTTTCTATCTATCTCATTATCCAATCAGAGTTATGAATCCTTATATCGGCGCTATACACTCAATGGAAATATTTACTTCTACTGAAGCTATGGTGCTTGGCATTTTATTTTACCTAAATATTTTTTTTAAGCCAGACATGAACAATTTATAGTTAAAGAGCCCTTGCCTGATAGCTTTGGCTTCTAAAATGGATTGGCAGAAATTCTTATAGATTTTGCCTGATATTCGGCTTATGACAAAAGTGATACTTTTCTGTAATAGATTCATTTAAAGTTTCCTTGCTCTTTAACTTTTAATATAACATCTTCTTCTTTTCATTTTTTGAATTCATTTTATTATTTTTAAAAAAATGTTATTTTTACGTTTTGTTTTATTTTCATAATGTTTTTGAGGTTGCGGTATATTTGCGACATCATTATAGCTCCAATTAAGAAGGAAAAATTAAAAGGCAATTTTTTGTAGTTATTGCGGAAATAGCTTCTCAAAGGCTTCAAGGGGAATGTAGATATGTTTTAAAAGGCTGGTAAAACATTTATATTTATAGATAAAACTACAGGGTGTCTCTAATTAAAGAGTTCGTTAAAGCTTTTTTACCTTCTAAATTTCGTTTTATTAAAAAAAAATAGAATTATTAAATGCCAAAATGATCAAATAAGTGTACATATTAACCTAATCTAGGGTTTAGTAAAACCAGGAGATCAAGCATTGATGTTGATATCCACCATTCTTAAGTTTTCAGCTCTGATAAATAATATTTGTTGGATTTTATTTTGTCTTCTTCTCCAGAGGTCCATATGATTCCATTTCTGATTTCAGGGATCAGGGTTTAAAGTACATTTAAAGGCACTAAAATACACTTTTTGTGCCATTGTGAATTTATGCAAGTTTTTCATGCACATCTAAACTTGCAAATTGCACGTGTATGCATTCTGCATTATGTAATTTTTCCATGCAACTTGACGCCATACTTACAATTGTTTACAACAACAACATGTTTAATAAGGGATTGTATTGTAAACAACGCGAATTTTTTTTTTGTAATTTAAAGCATTGTTTACAAATTGGCTTCACAGAAGTTAACATTCTTGACTTCTAACTTTTCATTTTTTAGTCAGAACTTGACAATCTCTGTAGAGAGAGGGTCAGTATTTCTTCCAGTCTACATTTTCTTTCAATTAAACATTTTGGATTCGATTCCTTTGGTAACCAACAAAAATGTTTTCGGAAACAAAGTCCTAAATCTTGGCACTAAAAAAGTCCTTGAATATAAAGTCACTGGAAAAAAGTCCTGAATTCTTGAGACTTTATATTTTTAAGGAATTTTGGTTTCATTATGACTTTATACAAAAAAATCCCCGGAAAAAAAGTCCTCTTAAAGTGGAAAATGCATGGAAACAAAGGATGTTTAAACCATGGAAGATAGGGACTTGATATGAAAAACACCCCTGGCATATTCAGTATGAAGATGCATAGAAGAAAAGTCCTTTTCACCTATAAGACTTGACCTCTAAGACTTAGAACTTTTTTTCTTTTTTTAAATATATCCCGGCAAAAAAATGTTCGCACTTAATAATACCCATTACAATGACATAAATAGATATTTGATTCGATTTAACCTTTTTAACTATAAGTTTTTTGATTAAGTTCAACTTTGATTAAGTTTAAACTGTTTAATACGATTAAACTGTTTGATTCGATTAAACATTTTTTGTTCCACTTGAACCTTTTTTAACTTTAAGTTTTTTGATTTAGTTCAACCTTTTAGATTAAGTTTAAACTTTTTAATTTTATTAAAACTTTTATGTTCCACTTTTTGATTGAACTAAATCTTATTTATTTGATTTAACATTTTTTTCCACGTTCTGTTTTCTAATTCAGTTCAAGATTTTTGATTGATTTAAAACTTTTTGGTTTAATTTAACCTTTCAGATTAATTTTGACTGGATCCGTTCCAATGCTTGTTCCCATGTTAAAACCTTGCTGACTCCCCAAACTGATTTCTTCCATTTTGAAGAAGAAAGTTAGCAGTTTGTTTCTACCATACACTCAGCTTTAAAGGGAGTGACCGGCTATGTAAGGTAGTTGAACCTTTCGGATTCATTTGAGACTTAATAAACTTTTTAAAGATCTGAGTTTGAGTGCAAATTCGACGTTCAAAACTCCTACTTTGGGGGGTGGATACGTTCACATAGCCAGTCACTCCCTTTAAATACTTTCTGCGCTTTTTCAAAAAGTCTATGCAATTTCAAATAAGACTGACTCAGCTTTAAGCAATATTTAAAAAAATACTTAAACGAAGTATTTAGAAAACAAGAAGACCTCCTGAGATGCAGCAAAATTTGGTCTTGGTAGCAATATTCCTATTCTTCAGTTCAATATTGGCTAAACCAAAAATGTATCTTGCAGAAACTGAAGGTATTTTAACTTTAAGAATTTGCTTAACCCTATCCCTGCTGGGGTACTTGAAAACCAGGATATGCTGGGGGGGGGGGCAACTTGACCCCCCCCCAGCA